CACAGTTCATTTTCTCCCTGTGCCCAATTTTGCTTCATTAAGGCCACAGGAATTGACACTAGGAACACTCCTCGGTCAGCTTCCTGGATGTCTAAATCTCCATCTCAGCCTTTTTTTCAGGAATTTCTAAGTGATATTTATTTCTCCTGCTCAGGCTTGCTGATCTGTGGATTCTTGACTATGCCCTCTGGCAGAGTCACCTTTGAGGTGGCCTCCTCCATATAGCCCATCTGTAATCTGGAAGCTGGTCTATCCCCACATGCCATCAAGAGGAGAGTGGGCAGAAGGTCAAGGTCTTGCTGGTGTAGGGACTCAGCATAGCCTCTCTTTGGTTTTTGTAAATTGTGCCCACATAGTAGTTAATCTCAACTCAGCTACCCAGCATCACTGTCCTTTGTGTTTTTCTGTGGCACTCTGGGCAGTACATACATCTTTTCTCATCTGACTCACAGCTTGTCTGGCCTTAATTCTCTCACACACTACAGTCCTTCAGAGAGACTGATCTCCTTAAGGCAAAAGGCCACTCCCTCCATCGGACAGTAGCCACCCTGTGTTACTACACCATCATACTGATACCCCTGAGACCCAGAGACATTAGTGTTCAGAACATGGAAAGATAAAACTTTTATTGTAAGTCATAGGTAAACTTTCATTGAAAGTTTTATTTGTAACTTGATATACTAAATATCTATGACTTACTGCTTGCACTTAGCCAGGAATTTGGGTTTTTTCACAGGAAATAAGATAACCTGACTTTAACTGTAGACTGCATGTGATCAATAACATTCGAAATCAGAGTAGGATTGGCCACTTCAATAAGATCCAACATGCAAAGGCAGAGGTGTCACTAAAATCTATAATGGGCTTGCCTTCTAAACAAAAACAATGGTAATTACAACTTCACTTGGAATAAGCAATTACAGTTTCTCATGTTTTGTGTAGGAGCAGCTTTCCCCACGATCTATTCCATGAGAAATTTTGTTTAAATATATATATTTTTTACAGTTTTGGAAGCTGAGATTTATATATACTAGTAGTGAAGCCCTAGTTCACAAAACTTGCAAAAGGTGGAGCCAGAATCCAAGGGTGCTTGACAGTAGAAAATATTAAGAAGAAATAACAATCACAAAAAGCAGCCCCAGATAAAATCAAATCACAAAGTGCCTGGCACAGTGAATACAATCTGTTGTTACTATTGTTGTTATCACTGATTTTATTACATAGATACACACATATAAAATATTAAAAAATACAATTATATCACAGAGATGCAAAAATACTGATACTTATAATGCAGCAGAGATTCTGTCAAGTTTAGTTCAATAAGGAAACTACCATGGATTCTACCACGGTTTCTTTTTATTTCAACTACTCTCTTTGACAACAGCTGATCTTTCAATATCACACCTGTTTAATCTTTCCATCATATTAAACTATAGACAATGCCAGAGCCACATTACCTCACCCCCTTAATGTATTTTTAAGCATCATCTTTTTCCATGAACATCTGTTTACATGTCATTTTTGATCCTAAAGAATTCTCTTCTTTCAATAAATCACAGCTTTCCAAAAGCATTTTGGAAGTATATTAAAATTATGGGTGTCTATAAAATGTCCCCGAAAATTAAACATCTTTGGCAACCAAAGTGGCAAGCTTATGCCTCTCTGGTTTATTAATCAGATTTAATTTAGGCCACACCCCTAAGAAGTAGACTGTAGACACTGATATAAGAGAAGCCAATACAGCCAGGCTGGAAGAGCTTTTCTCCACCCAAAGAGGCATTAAGACAATGCTGCTCGGACAGGATCCAGCCTTTTGGAAGCAGTCATCACTTTTATCTTCTGTAAGTAGACAATCTGTGATTCTGTAAATACTAGTCACTTAATATTTAATAATTTTCCTGTAAAGTTTGAACTCCAGAGAAGTCACAGCTATACATCTTTATATATTTTACAAATAAAATTCTATTATCCATTCTACAACCTGAAGAATCACAACCTGCTAGCTGAGACAGTCATCAGGTTAAATTCTTGTAATAACCTGTGAATTTTGTCAAATTTATGATTTGGCTGTTTCCAATTTATTTTCTGACAGAACAAACTGATTAATCATTTCAGTATCTTGGGGAGGAGAGTTACAGTTTTACTATTAAGTTTTGGCAACAGGGATCAGAAAAGTACAGAATGGAATGTTAGAGGCGTTGTTCTCAATGTTCTATGATTACTCAACAAGTTATTGATGAGAAAAAGGAAGGGATATATACGTGCCTTCTACGAGCATTGCAAAAGAGATCAGTGTGATTTAAAGTAAAGATGTCCACATTTTATCACCATTCTAAGAAAGAAACTATGGGGACAGAAGAAAATATAGCTCAAAATTCTTTAGCTTTCTAAGCTATAGTGAAGAAAGAAAAGGAAAAATATTTATTTTTCAGAGTAATACTTTATCATACTTCTTTCTACACTAGTCAGTCTTGAATTTTCAACCTTTTAAATGAAATTATAGACATTTTATTAGTAAGATTATTTAATTCTTCATTTTTCATTTAACTATACTTTGTTTCCATGGTCAATTTTTTAAAAAAATTATCCCAAATAATCATTTTTGTAGGTTCATAAACATTTTAATTAGTGGCAAATTATCTCAGCTTTGTAACATAAAAATAGAGACAGTAATTTTAATAAAGCAAATAATTTAATATTATCACATCATAGAAAAATACAGTTATCTACTAATTTTATTTAACACATTTAATTGATCATTTCATGAAATAATCTGAATGCTATGGCATGATGACCAGTTAGACCGGTAAAAACTGATAATTTTTATACACCTGGAAATAAAGAATTTTCATTCCACCTAAACATAAAGAATAGAAATATTATCTATTTTCACTGAAAAGGTACAAGCTAATGGCATCAAATTTTACAAACTACTTAACAATAGTAGGAACTTCATAATAAGAAAATGTATTTCCTGAACTGAAAAGTCGTGCATGTTGTTGAGATTATTCTCTGAAAACATATGAACCAGTCTGGCATAATTTAAGTGGCTAATTAATTGAAATTGCTATATTTTTATGCTATATATGTTTACCTTACCAAAAACAACAACAGCAACAACAACTAACATCTTTTATCAAACATGCCACTACATTGATCCTTAAACATACAGCTGAAGTGAGTGGGAGCAACATTAATGGCTATAACTGGATAACTGAATAAACTGTTACATATACAGAGAATGAAATAGTATTCACCCTTAGGAAGGAAATTCTGACACATGGGATGAAACTTGAGGATATTATGATAAATGAAATAAGCCAGTCAGACACACACACACACACACACACACACACACACACACACACACACAATGTGGATGGATATTGTGGACGGTCATACAACAATATGATTATACTTGAAGACACTGTACTGACTGTGCACTTAAAAATAGTTAATATGATGGAAAAAAATAATTTAAGAAACTTGTCCAACACCCTACAGTTATGACATTACAGATTGATTTTTTTAAAGATATTTAAACTTGATCAATCTTCAACACTAAGAAAGGTTGAAAAAACAGAGAAATGGAAGATATCAAGTGAAAGAAATGAGTTAGGAGGCTTTGAAGTCTTTCAGCAAAGTGACACTGAGGACTATAATTAGAGATTTTGTAAAGTACCTACGTGTAGAAAGTACATGTTATTGCATTTTTTAAGAAGTAAAAAGAAAAGAAATGTGCATGTTAGAGATACCAGGGTGTGAATATGACAAAGTTTTGTCAAATGCAGAATTTATTTGTCAAGAAGGAAATATGTATATTTCCATGATACTTTAAACAACCAAATAAAACCCTCAGGTATTGTGCTGCCAGTAAAATTATGATGCTCAACTAGTGCACCCTGGTATCCACTGACCCAACTGCACTGCATTTCCCAGGCATGATTGACATTTGAGTTTAGGGTGGATACAAAAAGTGGAGGCTAAGGGAATGCCCATGGAAGAGATGGGCTCCTTCTGCCATGTAACTTTACTGAATTAGACCATATCCTTGAGATTGAATCAGCATTGATATGCAGGTGTGGCCACATTATTCAACAAGGTAGAAAACTTCCTGCACCAGCAGATCTAAGAGGAAAATGCCTATAAAAGAAAAAACTAATTTATCTCTGTGATTGGATAAAGATCTTACTTTTCTTTTTTCTCCTGTACCTGGTAAAGGTTATGCTTGTGAACTGATGAGAAAAAGTCTCATTGCAACAAAGTACCTTGTACAGTTAATGAAAATGTGTATTTACCATTATACTCTTAAATTGCAAAGAAATAAAAAATATCCAAGAATGTCAGTACTGTTTTCAGTCTATCACCTATAAAGGAGGACTAAATGTGTTCGCAACTCCAAATTAAGTATGTTTTCATTTGCAGACTTAGTCTTTCCAGACCTAAGAACATAAGTCACCCTGTTTAGAAAGTTAAAAAAAGTCTTCTTGGATTAAGTCAGGGGAAACCACCTGATTTTGGTAGGTTTCAATGAGTTTTGGTATGTTATAGACCCACAACCTTCATAATCAAGGATGTAGTTTTATATAATGACATATATTGACCTAATTCAGCTCCTAAAATATTGACTATGCATGATGTAACTCAAGCACAAATAAAATGACAAATTATGTGAATCATTTCATTCCCACTCACTTATGATGGTAGCAGATAAAGCAAAATCATTCTGACAGGTCACTTGCAACTTATCCACAACGTGGATTTGTTATATAAAATTAATCAGTACTCAGCCTGAGAAGAATTTATAATAAATCCTTGGAAATGACAAAAAATTGAATTAATTTTATGCACAAATTAGAATATTTTGCAAGTGGCAAGTGAAAGATTTGACATAGGTTTCATTGCTTTCACACAAGTACTTTTCAAGAACTATATAACTCAAATGGAATACCATAAAGGATAAACACTGTCATCTTTTTCTCCATTTGCAGTGTCACTCTTATGTGAAATCATGGAAAATGGGAGCTCTACCTCTTATTTCATTCTCCTAGGACTCTTTGATCACACCACAGCCCACCAAGTCCTCTTCATGATGCTTCTGGCCATTGTTTTGACCTCCCTGTTTGGCAATGTCCTCATGATTCTCCTGATCCACCGGGACTGCCGGCTCCACACGCCCATGTACTTCCTCCTGAGCCAACTCTCCCTCATGGACATGATGCTGGTTTCCACCACGGTGCCCAAAATGGCGGCTGACTACCTGACCGGAAATAAGGCCATCTCCCCTGCCGGCTGCGGTGCGCAGATCTTCTTCCTCCCCACGCTGGGGGGTGGAGAGTGCTTCCCCTTAGCAGCCATGGCCTATGACCGCTGCGCGGCTGTCTGCCACCCACTCCGATATCCCATGCTCATGAGCTGGCAGCTGTGCCTGAGGATGACCATGTCGTGTTGGCTCCTGGGTGCAGCTGACGGGCTCCTGCAGGCTGCTGCTTCCCTGAGCTTCCCGTATTGCGGGGCGCACGAGCTCGATCATTTCTTCTGCGAGGCCCCCGTGCTGGTGCGTTTGGCTTGTGCTGACACTTCAGTCTTCGAAAACGCCATGTACATCTGCTGTGTGTTAATGCTCCTGGTGCCCTTGTCTCTCATCCTGTCCTCCTATGGTCTCATCCTCGCCGCTGTTCTCCACATGCGCTCTCCAGAAGCCCGCAAGAAGGCCTTTGCCACCTGCTCTTCACATGTGGCTGTGGTGGGACTCTTTTATGGAACTGCCATTTTTACCTACATGAGACCCAAATCTCGTAGGTCCACTAACCACGATAAGGTTGTGTCAGCCTTCTACACTGTGTTCACCCCTTTGCTAAACCCCCTCATCTACAGTGTGAGGAACAGTGAGGTCAAGGGAGCCCTGACAAGGTGTATGGGTCGGTGTGTGGCCTTAAGTCATGAATAAGAGTATATATATTTGCTCCAACATTCTAAACTGTGCAAAGTGTTTGTGTGTAATTTCCTAGAGATGAGGAATATACACTTTTATATCTACATCTGTTGTGTGTGTCTCTCTCTGTCTCTCTGTGTGTTTGTGTGTGTGTGTGTATGTGTTGCTTTGAATTGCAGATAAATCTTCATTCCTTGGGTTCATTTACTCAGCTATCATTATCCAATCAAATTGTGAATTGTTAAAAATCGGTGAAATCACTAATTTTTAGTAAGATGGTTTTACATCATACCTCACAATAATATTTTGTTCAAAGAATGAATTCACCATTCAAACAGTTTTGAAGGTTAATTGTTGCCATTTGTTTCAAATTGAGGTGTAGCTTACACACAGCAGAATTCTCACATTTAAGGTGTTCCTTTTCAACTGATTTCCACAAATATCTACCCTGGTAATCACGCATGATCAAGAGATACCATTTTCACCACCTCAGAAAGGTCCTGCAGGTCTTTTTCCAGTGATACCCCAGGCCTAAGATACACCCACTGCTCTAATTTTTATCTCTGTTCATTAGTTTGGGCTGTTCTAAAATTTCATATCAAAGGAAACCAGTAGTATTGTCTTGAATCTTGTTTTCTTCTTTCAGCTTAGTATATTTCTAAAATCCCTCCACATTTTTACCTCATTGATATGTTGCTCTTCTTTTACTGCTAAGTAGTATTTCGTTTTCGGAAAATTTCATCATTTCTTTATCCATTATTTTGCTGATGGGCATCTGGGCTATTATCAGTTTGAAGCTCTTATGACTGAAATGTCTGTTAATCTCCTGTTTATAATAATATGTTTTTATTTTTCTTGGTAGGTGTCTGATGAACTCTTTAGTAAAACTGAAGAGTTTTCAAAGTGGTTGTTTACTCTTATACTGCTACTGACAATGCACACAAGTTCCAGTTGCTCCAAATACCGATGTTTTCTTCATTTTAGCAATTCTTCTGAGTGTAGTAGGAACTCAGTTTGCTTTTAATTTCCATTTTCCTGATGACTAATAATGTTGAGGCCTCTTGCGTTAGCTTATTTTCTATTGCCTAGTGATGTAAACTGTCTACTTCAGTTTTTGGAAAAAAAATCTGTATATGCTTCCAAAGCGAAAACAACTTGGTCATTAATTAATAGGCAATCTATGGCATTCATAGGACTACTTGGAATTTTGGAAATAAAATCATATATTGGGTTATTTTTTATTATATTTCCTGGCACATGTGTTATCATTCAATGCCTCAAGATTTGCTATTTTATTAAACCAGGTATTTAGTACATCTCTTCCACCTCCTGCATTCTGCTTAAAGCTATAAATCTGTTTGTTTTAATTATGAATTGTAACAGAACATTCCACTTCAGTGGAGGAATGATGCCACTAAAAACACACAGATTTTATTATTTTTACATGTAAAGGGACTTCTTCACAAGAGCATGGAGTCTGAGGAAGTGGCCAAAGAGAGACAATTTTGTATTTTCCCAAGAAGAAATGACAGGACAAAGGGGATGGGGTAACAGCAATACATTTCTAGGTGAGTCATTAGGGGGTATATGAAGGGGAATAAAACTTGTAGAAGGATTACTTAGGTAAGTGTATTCATTCTGATCCATTGCAGCGCAGATCCCAGTGTCTGGTGTGAGGGCTATTTTCTCAGCTGGTACATGGAGGGTGTACTTGCCGAGGGATCTCTATGGCTTCGTGCATGTAGGAAGATAATGATCAGCTGGCCCTTTCTGAAACAACCATTGCTCCTATGTTTTCAACTCCAAGTAATCAGTATTCCAATTTGGTATTTGGGTGATGGCATGTCTTTCACTCCTTTACTGGTAAATGATTATATAGATATAGTAACTTTCAGGCAAGAAATTTGGCATGTTAAAGGGACTGCTGAGTTTGCAAAGGAAACAACAATAAACATACATTTATTTCTATATCAATTTATTTATAAATATATACTCATGTGATCTCCAAAAACAAAAAAATAAATTCAAAAATCAACTGTAATACAATAGTTTCACATACTTAGAGATTTTTTTTTTTTTACTTTGCTCTTTTTTAGTCTGAATCTTTTCTTTCACAACTTTTCCTTTTCTTGAAATAAGGAGCAGAGGAATGTAGAGCAGATGCTCTCAGGGAGCAGGAGCCAGCGAGATCCAGGTTGGCAGGTCCCTGCAGTACTGTGGAAGTGGCGGCCCCTGGGGATTGTGGAAGAAAGGCTGGTTGAGGCATTTACCCCGGGCCTGCAGGTTGTGCTTTAGGGTATCTAAAACCAATTTATTACACTTTAAACCTGGTTTATTTCTATAAACACAGGCATAATTTGATCATGGGGTAATTTCGTCAAATAGTCAACTTCCATATCCTGTCAGACACATTAAGTGAATTGTTTTAACCCTCGCCTAGATGGAGTAAAGAGAGTTTAACTTCTTATATAATGACTATAACAATAGTAATAAACAGAAATACCTCTTGTTCATTTAGTACTTACTTTGCAACTGTATTTTGCTTAATATTTCACCTTCATTTTATTATTTTAGTTATAACCATAACCTTCCAGAATCGGCTCAGTGTTAATTCTCATTTTTTAAAAAACAATGGAGACAAGCTTATTGGGGTAAAATTCATTGTCCACCTTTATATAGACCTGAATCCAGTTGTCTCCCTTTAAAAAGCTTGCACTCAGGAAAGAGCTAGTTGTCACAGTGTTTCAGTGAGCACTGCCCCCATCCCACTCATATACACATGCACACTCATTTGAAATCGCCATCATTTCTTCCACTAGAGTTCAAGATGTTGTCAAATGGTTTTCCTCCTTTCACACAAGCTATTGCTGCAGGTTCTCCTCGCTTTTCTCACACATCCCCTAGGGACATGGCTCCTAATGGTGCCCTATGAAAGGGTGGCCGTTTTCTCTCCCAGAAGCCACACACTACAGGACTTCCTGTTGGGAAGGTGTCTTTCATTCTTTTCCTTGCTCCCTTCAAACCACATATCCCCCTTCTCCCTGCAAACTGTCAGCTAATCAGAAAGAAATCACTGAACTGAGTATCACCCAATACCTCTGAGTCACTCTCAAGGAGGTGACATTGAAACAAACATCTGAGTAGCACGAACAGCAGCTGGACACCATGAGGAAGGAAGGGGTATTGAGCCCAGTGTGCTAAATGTGAAAGGCCCTGCCTGGAATGTCCTGTGAGCAGCGGAACTTGGTAAGGTCAAATGTGGTGGGAGATGAGGACCCCAGGAGGACTTCAGGGTCAGGTCATGTAGGAAGGCACAGGTGATGTTCAGGGTGCTCTAGGGTCCACCTGCAGTCAGCCGTCATCAGGAAGGAGCAGACAGTCCACATAAACGTAAGCAGCTAAACTGTAGATTAAACATGACGTTCTGACAGAGCAGGCTCTGAGGGGGAGAGAGTCATCCCCTTGAAGAGAACAAGGAAGTCTCCGTGGAGGGAAGATTTACATGCAAAATTTTAGGAAAACTGAAGAAATTGAAGCCTTTAGAAGTGCTGGGGAAGAGTGTTTATGTGCAAGAAAGAACCCAACTTATGAAAAAGATGCAAGACAGCTCAATTTCTGTAAATATAAATACTTCAGTTTCACCAGAAATGTGAACTAAACTCGGGCAAATTTTATGATTTTTTTTTTAAATTTTAAAAAATGTGACCCAGCAGAATGTCTGCAGACTCAAAACTGTGGTCCCAGAAAGAAGAATCTAGTATTAGGACTGAAATGTATTTATATGGGGAGAAATCTGAGGCAGGGAATTAACTTAGTTGTCATTATAATATTACAATATTTGTGTTTCTATCATATAAAAGCAGGTGCTAAATATTTTGAGTAAAACATATTGGAATTATAGATTGAAGATTCCCCCAATATAAAATCTAATAGATGTGTTAAGGGTAGCAAACGATTATCACAGACCACTGTGCTAGTTTTTCTATTCCCAGATCAACTCACTTGCCTTCTTCACTACGTCTTTCTCATTAATATATTTCTGCTGTATATTCTGATCACGAAATGACTAACATTCTAAAATAATATCCATATGTACATAATGTACTAAAGTGAATTAGTACTTTAAGATACGCCTGTAGTAGGCTTGATTTTTACAAATTATTCAATAAAGCAAATGTAATAGTTCCATTTTATTTAGATAAATGATACACCATTGAAATTATTTGAAATGACTTAATAGAAATATAAACTTATTACCTTTAACACAGAATTTTAGTTTTGATTCAAATATAAAAAGTTAGAAACTCAGTGGTACTTATTACGTTACTTTTACTATTAAAATTGAAAGGTTATATAAATGTAACAAGTAACATCATAGTTGACTAAATTGTTGCACATCCAGTTGAAATTTAATACATTAACAAACAATAATCCAAAGATCTTTAATTGACAGGAGTGGTAAAGAGTTTGTCTGCTGTCAGTGGAGAAATCATGTTGGCTAACTTTTTATATACCCCTCGTTTTGGCCTCTGAAAAGATCATTTGTCCACTGTGTCCTTTTACAATTGACATTGCCTTTGGCATTGAATTTTCTTTCCCTCAGCATAATCCTATTGCTTTTTTAATCTGCAGGTGAAATCGGAGATTGTACATTGATGCATACAATTTGTGGCCAAATTCCTGCTACTGCTATCTCAGCGGTCTAGGGAGTTACTTACAGTTCCACAACACGCACATTCAGAGTGGTACCAAACAGACTTAGGTTTCCTTTGACAGTACTGCTGTTTCTAAAAATATATTTTGTGTCTATTCATTTCCATTTGAAACCAATATCCATCAAAATCTACTGCTAAGATAGAGTTTTTAATCTCTTGATTATTCCCAACATTAGTTAAATGCCGCTGCATTGAGAATAGTTTCAACAATAGACTTCAGTGGGAGCAAACGTAACTTGCTTCTTTGTGACACGCAAGGTACCTGCTGTCTTCTGCAGCGTTCTCAAGGGAAAGTGCTTG